TGACAGCTAATGCAAATCGTGGTCTGACTTTTGGTTTGTTTTGCTTGTTTGGGGTTGTTTTAAGACAGGGTCTCATTATATAGCTTCAACTGTCCATCCTTCTGCCTCTACTTCCCAAGTGCTGGAGTTATAGGCAGGGTCTTCCATGCCTGTCTGGCCTGCCTCAGAAACACTGGGAAGTTAAATACTTGACTCAGTGCCTCCTCTTCCTTTTCCTTCACTTCCTCTTTCTCCTTTGTTTCCTCCGCTTCCCTCCTTTTCTTTTTTACTTCCTGATCTATAGCAAAAGGAACAGTGATTGACCTCTGACCTTTCCAACTGCCATATAGTTCTTCACCCTGGGGGAGACCGCAGCGGTCACTGACTGACTGCACTGCAGATCAACAGCCCTATCTTGGGCACTCTCACACGCAGGCAAACAGTTCTCCGAGCCCACCTCCCCTCACATCCGTCCTCGGGATCCTTTTCCCCGTCCCATTCTTGTTTCCTCAATCCCGTTCGGTCATATTTCTAAGTGGAATGGCTGACAGGCATTAAAGTACTAATACTTTACTGGGGTGTATATCAAGGAAAAGAGAAACTAATGTTTTCAAAGACTAAAACCAGACACTTGACCTAAGGCCATGGACTGTAAAATCCTTAAAATGATCCAGACCTCTCCTCCGTAAGACCTATAAAATCCAGCATCCAGCTGTAATGGCCCTAATTACATCTGCATTTCTTCAAAAACTACCGTTCAAAATAAAAACGGCCAAATCAGTTCTATTTCCTGCCAACGTAACTACCTCCTTGGCATTCCGTAGTTTTGTTTCCTCCTTTGTTTTCATTGGAAACATGAAGTTTGTCAGCTCTGCTAAGGGGCTCTGAGAAGTGGATGAAGAGCACCTGCCACTCCGATGTGGCGGTGCCTACAAAAAAGGCAGGGCTAGCCAGATGGCTCAGTGGGCAAAGCACTTGCTATGTAAGCGTGAGGACCTGAGTTCAGATCCCCAGAGCCCATGTAGAAGCCCAAGGGCTGGGGACATGGCAGCAGACATCTGCAATCCTAGTACTGGTGAGGTGGAGACGGGTGGGTCCCTCAGACTCGCCTGGCCAGTCAGTCTAGGGAATCGGTGAGCTCCAGGCTCGGAGAGATACCGTGTCTCTAAATGGAGGACTGGAAGACTAGAAGAGTTGAATGGGACCTCTGGTTCTTGCATGCATTCACCACACATACATGTACATCTGAATGCATAGGTGCATACAAACATGTGCTCGTGGACAAGCATACCCACATAGACCACACAGCACAAGCGAATGCGTTTGTGAACACAGGGCGTGTGATTTGAAGTCGTAAGAAATACAGACACTTCTGTGTCATTTAGCACATTCTCTGTCTTGAAATAGATGGAGACAAATTTCACTTAATCTGGTTTCCTCCAGTCTTTTGATCCAGAGGGATTTTACTCATCTTGAAGCTTTTACCTGCATCTAAGATTATCCAGGACTTAAGAACCTGCCAACCAGCTCATCCAGGGTTAAAATCTTCACATATCTCCCAATACTGGCTTTGACTAGGATTCTTTTCATTACTATAGGCTCTGAGGGGAGCAGGGGTCTATGTTAATTCCCGGGGTTTCACCGTCATGGATGAAGTTGACTTTCTGTTGTTCTGTGGCTTGGCAAAGACTGAGGAGGATTTTAAAACTAAATCTCTGCCTGTCGGAATTGTGAATCCCCCTGATTTTTTTTTTCCTCTCGGATTCTGTGCAGCACGTGTTTAACTGCAACCTGCTTTCTCTCTCGGCAGAAAAATCCTTTGACAATGCCCATTCATCTTCAGGTATCGTGTTGCCTTGATAAATATGGAAACGTGCCTGTTCCTCTCCCATCAGCTCTGTCAGAGGCTTCTCACTCTTCCTTGGAACCCCCAAACCCAACACGTGGAAAAGCATTGCGACAAAAAGTGCTGTAGCGGGGGTTTTGTTTGTTTTATTTGTAAAATATAAAATAGATTGACATGGTCCTGGAGAAAAACATGCACACAATGGTTGGGCCAGTGAGATGGCTTGGTGGGGACATATGTAATGCCCAGCAGGATGATGTCACTCGGTGGAAGCAGAGAACTGATGCTCGGTTGTCCTCTGACCTCCCCATCGAGCTCTCTGTCTCTGTCTCTGTGTATCTCTGTCTCTGTCTCTCTCCACACACGCACACACACATATATAGACACACACAGACACACACACACTTGTAAAGATAAACAGTGGGTAATGCATGTCTGACTTATGACGCAGGGGTTTGATGGAAATCTCCAGTTTTAAACTCCTGCAGAACTTCCTCCCCACCCACAACAGTGGCATCTTCGTTCTCCCATCCTGACAGCGGAACCCTTGATAAAGCATCTACCAAGCAGACCTGTCACAGCACTCTTTGCCACAGCACCCAATGCAGGGCCTGCCAAGATTCCACAGCCCCACCAGCCATGTAGCAAGGCCACATGCAGTTGCCAGTTGCTCCACCAGGCTAAGGTCGGAGGTGTAGGCAATTTCTTAGAATTCTCCCTCACACAGGGCCGACTACCACCACAGCCCAGCAATGCAGAAGGGGCATCCACTCAGAGTCCAGGATGTAAAGAAAAACAGAGCAAATGGGACTTTCCCCTTAAAATGCTCTGCCTATGTGGCCTGGGTGGTCATGTGTTTGGGGGAGCTTTTTTGACAAAAGTGCACTTACAGCTGCTAGTTGGATAGGGACCCCCCCTCTTATCCTCCACCTGCTCTCTCCATCCTTCCAAGATCTGGCTGTAACTTGTACTTCTTTATTACCTAGTACCATGTGACCCACTGAAGAAGCTGCCTCGTGACCCGACTGACCAGCCTTCATTTCTCATGTGCGATTCTTCAGCAATACTTTGGGACTTCCCGTCAGTCTGACACATACTGTATGTTCAGAGATAGCATAGGATTTGAGGATGATAACTCAGCTGATAGAATGTTCACCTAGTACACATCAAGTCAAGGGTTCAACCCCCTGGCACCCAACCTTCATGGTGGTACACACATATAATTCCAGCACTTGGGAGGTAGAATTAGGAAAACCAGGAGTTCAAAGGTCATCTTTGGTTTCACAACGAGTTTAAGGCCAACCTAGGATATACAAGATCCTGTTGCAAATCAAATTTCATTTTTAAGTGGTAAGCTCTAAGGTTGTCAAGTGTTAACTTTGGCTGTTCTGTTGATACTGGATATGATGCAGGTTGAGAATGAAACTTTTCGGCCCTCTCTTGCTGGCATGTGACATACCTGTGACGCCGTCATCGACGATAAGTTCTGTAGCTCCTGTGGGATTTTGGATTTCTAGGCCGCACGTGATTTACTTGTTCATGTAAAATTTTACAAGCAACAACGCACGAAAGCACACGCATACACTACACTCAATTAAATACTGGGACTGGGCCCGGAAGCATCTGTTTAGCAAATGCTGCAGCCTAGCTGGGTGATCGCATGTACTGACATCATAGCACGCGATAGACCATTTGCATGGTTAGCACGAGTTGCCGGCATCTGAAGCTAATGCATGGTTAGAGAGAAAGCAAGGCTAAGACACCCTGAGGGTGTGGCTTTGGGGCAGTACACTCTTCCTTCCTTCCCTCTATCCAGATTGGTAAAGAGCATCTCAAGACTTCCGAGTGACCTCATCACAGAACTATCAACCGCAAGACCTTACTTGGGACGTTCAGGATGCTCATAAGACAATGCAGCTACAGCAAACACCGAATCAACTCAGTGCGAGGAAGATGTGTGAGAATCATCTGGAAATCCTGACTTCAAACACTGTTTTTTTATAACTACAGATTCATTGATCTGACAATGTGTAAATGTTACAGATCTGTACCTAGAGAGTTCATTTTTAGCAATAAAATGCTGTTGTCTATTTTATATATTGAGATTTCACTAAGATTTTGATGAAATAAATTTTAAATTATTATTATTTGTGTGAGGGTGGGGTGTGTGTGTGTGTGTGTGTGTGTGTGTGTTGTGGAGTTCAGAGCATAAATTTCAGGTATCAGTTCTCTGACCAACCTTACATCAACAGGTTTACAAGGCAAATGTTTTTACCTACTGAGCCATCTCGCTGACTCTGATTAAATAATTTTTAAAATACCATCAGTTGATTAGGCCAGGCTGCCCCTGAACTAGTCATACAGTCAGTTTCTGACTCTCCTGCCACTATTTCCTGGGTGCTGGGATTATCAGCACTTGCAATGAAGCCCAGATGATTCGACGTTGAGAGTCCAAGCCCTCTACATATTGAGCAGTTGAGCTACAGCCCCAGTTCCCTGTCAGCTTTTTGTCATAAGTCTGAAAACAGTTCCAATGACCCGGATTACATTTCCAATGGCTGGAGCCCTTATTCTGAGTCCACAGATACCGCAAGTTTATACCCATAGTTTAATATCTTTACAAACTGAATTTTCTCAAGTACAAAATGAAAATGCAGTACTTACTCTCAGCTCACCATATATACGCACTTAACATAAGAAACAGGTTTTTAAGTTAAAGTGGAAAGACATGGAAGTTTTGAGCAGAAGGAACCAGGATATTAATGATACAGATAGGTTATAACCAAGGTAACCTGTAGTCATAGGGACCACGGTACTTTTCAAGTTCCTTAGGTAATTCTATCACATAAGATATGTAACATAGAAGGACACAGAGTATATAATTGTATTACACAAGATATGTAATACACATACAATATATAAACAGGAAAGACATTCTGAACTGCAGACAACCGCACACCTGGACTATTGTAACAAACACTAGTGATACACACAGCCAAAAGGCCAGTTACTTCAAGGAACCAGATAGTAAAACACGAATAGCAAACTCCATTTTGAGCCCAGGGGATCAGCTTGTTTGCTACGGTATAGACTGAACTCAGGCCATGCTAGGCAAGTACACACCACAGAGCTGCACCCCATGACTGTTTTTGTTTTTAAGAGGTTTCCTGCTCACCTGAGACAGCCTGTGAGACGGGAAACCATGATGCTGCAGGTCCAGGCTAAGACGTGGGCGGGTTCCTCAGAGGTGTCCCCAGTTCTCTACAGGTTCAAGTGCTGCCCAACTCCTATAGAAATGAACATGGTTAATTTTTAGTATCACTTGCTGAGAAAAAAATCTAGAGCCCAATCAGATGAAGAAACTAGAAATTAATAAATAAGGGAGAGCATAAGGATGGCTCAGCAGGTAAAGACACCGGCCACCAAACATGACAGTCTGACTTTGATCCCCAGGTCCCACATGGTGGAATGAGAAAATGAACGCCCACAAGTTGTCTTCTGATGTCACCACGTATGTCTTGGCAAACACCTGCACAAATGCACATGTGCACACACCCAAATAGAAGCTCTTAAAAGAAAAAAAAATGCTACTTCCAAGTTATGGTGACTAGGATGTCCCAGCTAGAAGGTGATGCTGAATGAACAGGAGGGGACAGCCTTCCGGGACCCTGTATAGTCCCTGACAGTGACAACTAAAATTCATTGGCAATTTGAGGCTATTTGGAATCTCCTAGAAGACACGCCTCTTGACTGTGCCGGTGGAATCACTTCCAGAGAGGTTTAACTGAGAAAGGAGGAGCCATCCGGAATGTGGGTGGCACCACGCAGGAGCTGAGATCCTGGACTGAGCACAAAAGGAGACAGAGAGAGGCACATGACCATCAGCACTCATCTTTGCCTGGGTCCTGGTTGGGAGCACCATGTGTGGTGATGTGAATAGGTATGGCCTTATAGACTTATGTGGTGCTATTGAGGAGGTGTGGCCTTGTTGGAGTGGGTGTGGCCTTGTTGGAGTAGGTGTGGCCTTGTTGGAGTGGGCGTGGTCTTGTTGGAGTGGGTGTGGCCTTGTTGGAGGAAGTATGTCGCTCTGGGGACTTTGAGGTCTCATATGTTCAACCTAGGCCTAGTATCTTTTTTGCTTCTGCTGCCTTCAGTTCAAGACGTAGAACTCTCAGCTCCTTCTCCAGCACCATGTCTCCCTATATTTTCCCTGCTATGAGGATAATGGACTAAAACCTCAGACACTGTTAACCAGCCCCAACGAAATGTTTTCCTTTATAAGAGTTGCTGTGATCACGGTGTCTCTTCACAGCAATAGAAACCACAAATAAGACACCATGTGACCAAGAACCCCTTGCTCTCACGATCATGCCCTCCCTACCATGATAAACTGCATCTACTGAAACCATGACAATAGACCTCTCTTCCCTTAAGTTGCTTCTACACTTGGTCACAACTGCCCTGGAAATCCAGTGGCCTCTGTCTGGCAACCTGACCAAAGAAAGCCACTTGGCATGTCTGAATATTGTTTCCTCACCCGTATAGTATGGTAAGAGTACCGCCTAACAATTCAAAGCATGGCATTACTGACACGGGCTGTGGCACAGATGAGCCTCGAGAAGAGTACTCCAAATGAGAGAACACGCAGTACATGACCCCATTTATAAGTTGTATTCAGAACAGAAAAGTACACAGAGACAGAGAGTGGATGAGGAGCCGCCAAGAGGAGCCAAGGAGAGGAGGAGACAGGAGAGGAGGAGGGAGGAGAGGAGGAGGGAGGAGCTAGTGGGAAAGTACACCATTTGTTCCTGGGGTATACTAAAACGAATATAGTAATTAGCCAACACTGTGAGTACACTAAAAACCACTAAATTGCTGATGAAATGCATTATATGTCAATAAAACTGCTTAAAAATATTGCCTAGGGTTGAGAATATAGCCCAGAGCTAGCATTCTTGTTTACCATGCATAGAGCCCTGGATTCAACGCCCAGCACAGAAATCAACAAACAAAAACTGCCTAAGACAGTGAGTGTGGATTGCTGTCTCTATGCAGGTGAGGGCAGGTGCAAGATAAGTCGAGAGCCTGTGACTGGGCAGTGGAAAAGGACTGAGAGTTTTAGAGACGAGGACAAAGAGACAGAGAAACAGAGGAGGGGGACAAAGAGGACAAGACAAGATGGAACCTATAGGAGAGGAAGAAGAGCCAGAACCACACAGTCCTGGGAGCCACGAGTACTGGGGATTTCTTAGACAGATGGTTAAATAATAAGTAGGGTGTGTTTGCCCATCTAGGTGTGTGGCTTGTGTTTATAACAATTGAGTTTGAGTTCTTTGTGTGGACCTTTTGTGGGTTGAGAATTTACTGATATAAATCTGACTGATAAATTACAAGCCTCTAGAGCTTTGATTTTACCGGGTTATGGGGATTTGTGACAGCTAATCACAAGGGACGGGGCGGGGGAGGCAGTGGCTGGGAATGTGAGCAGGATCTGCAGAAAGAGAACAGCAGTTTGGGCGGCCGCCGCCTGGAGACCATGGAGACCCCGGTGGCTGGGAAACCGCCATACGAGAAATTAGCCAGCGCTAGCATGGGCGCCTTTTTTTAAATATATCTCACGAAACAGGTGAGGGCTACAGATGTGGCTCATCTGGTAGAACAATTGGCTAACATGCACAAAGCCCTGGGCTCCACCCCATCACCATGTTAAGCAGGGCTAACATGCCTATAATCTTAGCACTCGGGAGGTAGAGACAGGTAGGGTTCAAGATTGTCCTCAGCAACTTGATAAGCTTGAAATGATCTTGGCATACACGAGACAGAAACAAGGGCTATCACAGGTCGTCATGGAGATTAAATGAGGAGACGTGTGACATATGCCTGGCCAGTGGCTGGTGCAGAGAGAGACACTGACTGGCTAAAAGGTGACTCTGGTGATGCTCAGGTAAGAAGCCAAGTGACACTAAAGTATGTCATCACCATAAAAATTACGTAGGTAGAACCCCTCACCTACAAACGCCACTTTATTCCAGGGTCCTTACAAGATAGAATTTCTAAATACTAGCAATCAAGCCAGCAGTCTGGAAGCAAAGTATAAACAGCATCAGAAAGGCCAGGTTGGGAGCCTTGGATGGAACGGAATGGAACATGAGGGAAGAGAGGATGGCCAACCCTTGCTCTTCCCACTGCTCCTTACAGGAAAGTCAGATGCACGAAGCAAGAATATAAGGTGTGAGGGACCCTCTCTCACACAAAGGCGGAGTTTCCAAACACTGTTGCTCTCCACGTTCTTCCCAGGATTTCAGGGGTGAAGAGAGAGATGATAAAGATTTAGAAAAATAAAGAACATGTCTATGCACAGGGGGAAAGAACACAGATTTTAAGTTAGCAGCAGCCCTTCTGGGGTTCAGGAAAGAAAGCCTCTTCACTGTAATCACTCCTAATTACCCATCATCGGCAGCTCATGTAATTACTCAAGGTATTAAAGGCCCTTCTACCCTTGACTGTCAGCCAGAAGTTATACTGTGATCTACCAGGAAGAAGGCCAGCAAACCAGATAGGTTAAAAAAAACTCTCCAAATCCCAGCGTGGCCTTCCATGGGTACAGGGCAGGCACACACCAAGTCAAGGCACTGAACTTGGTAGGCAGAGCAAGCTTTGCCAAGCACCTAATAACCACTGGCTAATAAATATTTATTCACCAAGAGATGTGTTTGGGTCCCCTCCACAGTGCTATGGCAGGATATGGGGAGGCATCAAGATTAACTTACAAGGGCAAAGACTGGAAACCTTCAATCAATATATAATATGTAATAAATATAAGGAACAGGGCATGCAAGAGAGGGCTGGGTGCTGTGTAAAGGACCCGTAAAGACGACTCTAGTGGCCTAGGGACATGAATTATAATCCTCTCAGTTTGTGCAGTGCTAGGATTGAATGGAGAGTCTCAGGCATGCAAGGCAAACCGCTCCACACAGGCTGAAACGGCTTTACAACCAGTCACTGTAGATGGCGCCATCCTGAGCTCCCTCTATGTGTGTTATGCTTTTAGAAAGGAGGCACCCGTTTGCATGCCATGTAAAATATGGCTTCTTCCATTTGTGCCTCATCCCTTTAAAACTTACATTTGGAGTATATTTTTATATGGCTGCAAAACACATTGATAGGCAAAAATAAATAAGTAGCCAAACACACTGCGGTTGGAAGCACAACTACATTTTGACTAATATTTTTAAAAAATTAACTTCAAACTTTAAAAAAAAATGGAGGACACTGAAGGGTGTCTTTTGGTTAATTTCTTAGTTTTTGATTTGGAGTTTGATTTTTGAGACAGTCTTACTAAGTGACGACGCAGGCTGACCTTGAACTTCTGATCCTCCTGCCTCAGACTTCAAAGTTCTGGAATCTGCTATGTCCAGCTCCTTATCAGATTTGATTGGTAATCCCTACATCCGGTTTGAGAGCTTCCTGTGGGAGAATTGTGAAGTCTGTCATTTCCTTGGGGTTCACACTGGCTTCCATGAGGTGTCTTCTATTCAACCAGCTCTGTTTGTCTGTCTGTCCCCACCACCCATATGGACATCATGAAATTAATTTTGTGGGTCATGACCAGCATTAATTAATAGGAAAACGAGTTCATTAGAGAAGAAATAGCAGAATCTATCACATATAGGGAGGGTATGCCTCACTGCAGCTTACAGACAAGCAAGTTCAAAGTCCCCTCTTGGAAATTCTGCAAAGGGCAGACACAGTAAAAGATTAGAACTAAGAGTGTGTGGATTAAGACATGAGTAGCCCAGTAAAGCCTGTTATCTAAGACCCTGTAAAGCATCGTGGGGCTGATTCTAAGGAGTTGGACAAGAAAGAGCCATTGTTAGCTCTGGGGAGGGGAACCTGGTAAAAGGAGGCTTTCCTCAAAGATACTTCTGGCAACAGTGTGTGAGCCATTGAGTAAACAAGGGCTCCGTGAGGCTCAGGCTCCTTCTGAGGTTTGCTCATGATTTAAAGCTTTGACATTGAACATAATGTCTAACAATACAGCTTCTGTAAGAGTGGATGCGCCTGAGATTGGAGATCTCACCTTCTCTCAGATTCAGTTCGATGTCAGGAAGGCTGAGCAAGTCACCTGATTGGGTTCAGTCACAGTCCCTACGCCCTGGGAGGCCACAGGGCTTGGTATAGAGAAGATAAGAAAAGCATCTTGGGAGATCCAAGCCAGGGCAGAAGATGCCTTTA